AATAACCAATTCAAAATAGTACTATTCATAATTCAAATTTCTCTTCACAAAATAAAAATTATTGAGCAACAAATTATCTCTAAAAATAAAACTATGAATAAACTGAACAATACACAAGTTTAATACTTTGTCTTTTTTTTCAACAAATTATAGTATCTTATTTATTAACATGCATAATTATAAAAGTATTTTTGTAAGTTGGATTAACCGGTCACTTATACAAGGTAGAAGTGGAGTACTCCACTTCTTCAAGCTTCTAAGATAAGATTTTTGTTTGCCTCAACTAAATGAGAGATAACTATAAAGGTTAAAATTAATTGGGAATGAATATAAGGATAATAAATGCATAATTAATGTCTAATTAATTTGTCTTACCTATAAATGTATTTACAGTTTTTCTGATGAGATTTTATTTTAAGGTTGAGTATCCAAACCTACTTAAACTTGGTTATTAACCTTAATTTTAATTACTGACCTGTTTTATGTTGCAAAATTTATAATTCAATTTTGTTCATATATGACATCTAAACACCCTAATTGACATATTGACTTAACGAGTTGTAACAAGAAATGTTTGATTGATCGTCGTTCTCTTAGATGCTCAAATGGTCGGTCTCTACTCTATACAAATTAACATCAAAAATTTCTAGCTACTTTACAAAATTTAAATACCCACTATTTCATTAAATTTAAATAAAAGGAAATTATTTTTTAATTTTTCAAAGAAAAATCGTAAATAACGTTTAGAAACATTTACTAAATAAATAAAATATAGGAAGCATTATACAAGATCACCCATCATATGACAAGTGTATTTATGTGTCATTGTAATAATACATATGATATACAAACATCATGTTTTCATCAATATTAATAAAAGAGTATTTTTATTTTAAAATAATATATAGATTAAGATGAATAAAAAAATATTAATTTTTTATTAAGTTTTAAAATGGTGTAGAAAGACTGAAAAGTGTATGATTATAATTTTTCCTAAAAGATACTTAATATTAATGAAATTTTTTTAGTTTAACTTCGTCAAATGGTATATTATATGCAAAAAGAATCAAAGTTTTTTTTATATATATATATATTTCTTGTCTATTTTACACAGAAAGATTTATTGGCACAGAAGATAAATCATTCATATGATACAGTATGTGCTGTCTTGTAACAAACATCCATTTGCAGGATTTGCTAGATTCGGTCGAAAAACACGCACAGGTCTATACTCCAATAATATAATACTTTATGCCAATTTTACACTCATGCATGACATAGTAGACAACAATTGCCATCAAAAAAGAGGTTGAAGTAATGCTAAAAGATATTTATGAAATTGGTAATATCTGAAACTGAAATAATCATTCCATAATTCTCTCCGGATCTTAATTCTCACCACAACTCACATCAACATAAGTGTTAATTAACATTTTCATTTATTCCGATCTAAATTTTGTCAAATAATATTGTTAATATCAATCATCATCCCTTCTAGATTAATCTTATTATCGGTCAATGAAAAATATTAATATTTATATCTCAAATTTGTCGATACATTATTAAGATTAACTATCGTACATTTTAAATATTATTTATTTTGGAACTTTATTTATTATGGTTTTGATTTTAAAAGATGTTATGAAAATCTCAAATTTCAAGTAACATAAGATTATTGAGTGGAGTAAGAAGATCATTCAATTTCATACGTTAAAAATTGTATCTGTTTTTCAGCATTGGAACCTCGTCTGTAAGAATCCCAAAACCTCGAGAATGGCACGTTAGCAAGGAGAAAGGTGGACCACAAACTTCATCTCTATGTATTCGCTTATAGCACTGAAAATAGAAGTTAGTTGACCCTTCATTCTTGTGATATCAAGGGAAAAGTAGGTTGAAACATGATTAGGAAACCAAACACCCCAACATTCAACGTAGTAATAATAAAGTTTGCAACTTGCGCGAATGACATAAAATGTTTTTCTTTTCATTATTCCTCTCCTTTAATCACTTTTATTATGTTAACCAAGTCCTAATCACGGTGAAGAACTTCAGAGTGGAATCAAAGATGTAATAGAACACTAGGGCAACACCTGAATCTGTTAATTCAAACCAGTTATAAACTAAACAGCATTTGATTCCACGACTTCGAGGTTTTAGAGTTTTAATAAACACGCCTACAAATTTATAATTAACTTCATAAACCAGCAACAACATATGACCAAAAAGATTGTTCTACACATCACAAATCACATACATATAAAGGACAAGAAAAACATAAAAGCAACCTAGGAGCTAGCAAACCCCCTCTACCTTAACGTAGACAGTGCTATAGTTGTACCTATACATAAGGGAACAAAAACAAAATAGAACCAAAAGACAAGGAAACTAATGGCACTACTCTTGCCACACATTACATAAATTTCGTCATGTCCAAGCAAAAAGGTTTGATGTGAGAGTTCGCCCATATAATTCATAACAGGATACCTTTTCTGCTCTCTTTTTCCTTTTCTTCACCATTTAAAGCGTTAATATATAGTTATAACTTACAGTGCTGAATTTAATTAACAAAAGGGTTTAATCAGTATTTGTCTTAAGGGAAATTCCACAGGCTTGTCTCATGTTCCATGTTTTCTGGGCTGTTAGGTTCCAGACCAATGTCAAAAGGAGGAGGACTAAGCAGCATTCCCTCAGCCATATTAACCAGAACATTAGGCATGTCAAAGATCAAATCCTCGTCCACGAACTCGTTACTCGTCCCTGCTTGCTTCTCTTGTACCCCTGAAGAGTTATTATTCGTTGGCGTCTGCATAGCATCCTTCGCAGCTCCGGCAGCCGCCGCCGCAGCGGCTGCCGCCATCTGAATATCACGCGCCGAGAGTGAATCGGGGACAGGAAGGGAGGAAGCGGAGTCAGGGAAATTCAGCTCCGCATCCTTACCTATTATCAGATATCATACATACGTGTATTTATATCAGATACCATATCACGTACGGATACATTGATATTAACCAAAACAAAATAAAAATTATAAACTATTATTATTATTATTGAAAATCTAAGTCTCATTTTTTATTTGAGATTATGTTTTATTAATTCAATTAATAATTAAAGTTTTTCGTATTTTACGTCTAATAATATTTCTTAAAGGAATATCATATGAAATATAGATGTCATGTACGGAAAATGTAATAACATTGTCAAGTACGGACAATGTTATTCTTAAAAAATAATGTATTTTTTAGTTAAACATAATTTTATTTTGTTATACCTTTAAATTATTGATTTAGACATTTTTTTTTCATGTCAACGTAATATTTAACGACTATTCATAAATTTTAAAAAAATTAAAAAATTTATGTAATTTTTTTTAAAATTTGAAAACTATTTAATATACTGATACCAAAATTAAATATGAAAAGATATATATAAAAAAAAAACATTTTCTCCTGTCACAAATTCTTACCCTTGAGAGCATAAGCTGCCACGTCATAAGCCACTGCGGCCATTTCAGGTGTGGGAAATGTGCCTAACCAAATCCTGGTGGGCTTTCTTGGCTCACGGATCTCAGACACCCATTTTCCGTTGCTCCTCCGGCGCACGCCGCGGTAGCGGGCGGTTTCGGAAGAGGCTCTGCTGCTGCCGGTTGCATTATGAGAATACATGGTGGTGGTGGCGAAGGCGGTGGCTATGTGATGTGAAGGCGTGTGTTGTGAGTGAAAGTGTATGGCAATTGAGTGAAGCCATTTATGGAGGTGAGTTTAACGAAGGCGGGAGAAGGAGTAGCGGAAGGAAAGTGCAAACCAGTTGTTTCTGAATTGCGGCCTGTAAATGGTTGGAGTGTAATCCAGCATGGCTTTGCCAACGATTCATAGGTCGGAGAGCGTGTTCTGTTACAAAATAAAATCTCAAAGAAAAAAATAATAAAAAATCAATTCAATTCGCATAACTTATCCAACGTCAAATTTTATCCACAGTGATAGTGCACTTTGTCAATAGTGTATAACATCACTAAAACCCTGTTTTCCATTTTCAATTATTTCCAACAATGATTTTCGAGATCATAAAACATGGATATTTCTTCTTATTTATACAGTACTGTGCAGCAGGAGTGCCAAGTGTTCGAGATAGCAAATAGGATTATTACTGACGTAGGATTATCTCTCATCCATGGCAAATCAAATTTACGAGAAGACATGTTTTATTCTCCAACCATTTAATTAGGTAGGGTTTTCTGATGTTGTCGCAAGTGATCATCCATGAATATATTTTTCGTTCAGAGACAGCACAGTACGAGGCTAGTTTTGTTTCGTCAGCATCATGGAAATTAATAATTATTAGCTTCTCCACAAATTGTCGTGTATGGTTTAAGTTTGTCTAGATTTTTTAGTTTAGGGATTTCTATGTGCGATTGATTTTGCATCATTACTAATTTCATTACACCTAGGAAGTGTTTTTTTCTTTTCTTCTTTTTTTGTGTTTTAGCCACAATAGACAGGGAATCTCGCTGCTGAAAGCGATGGGAGGAATTTAATGGAGTTGTTAACTATTTTTGAAGAAACAAGTGAATAGGTTCAATGGATCGCGCGAGAGGTAGAACACCCTCTTTCAAGCTTCAAATCAAAAGTATTAAGTTCTCCTTCGTAAATACATTAATTCAGTTTAGTTCCAATTTATGTTCCGAATAGTGAAAGAAATGGGGGAGCAATATGTGTTTATATTTGGAAAGTGTTTCTTTTACTGCCTCGTTCGTATCATTCTGGAAAAATATTCAAATAGGGAAAGAGAAAGAAATGGTAGACCAAAAGAGTAATGTAATAAAAAAGGTGAAAATTAATACGTATTTACCATGTAAAATATTAATATTTTAATTTTTTTTTTAGCTTAAAATACTGTTACATATTATTATATTATAAAAACAAGTTATTAAATGGAGTTTTTTAGTCAAATTATGATTTTTCTAGGTATAAAGTGAGGCTTAGTAATTATTTTCCCACACCGCTTGATCGTATCGTAACGACGAGACGCATAAACCATCAAAATACTATGTATGGAAACCTTTGACAACAGCTGACGAGATTTCGATGCTCATGACAGTTTTCTACGTACACCAACACATTGCAAATTAAACACAATTGATCACACAACATCATACATAAGAAATACAACGAGTATGACAGAGAATAAATTTACCATATCATCAAAATAAATACTAATTTGAGCACAGCAAAATTTAAAAAAACATTTGTACCACATGACATAACAATGCGACTGCATTATGCCATACATAAAAGCTGTGTCTCCAAAATCTGAGAAATCACGGTCAAACCCAACATACGAAACTTGTACCTAAATACTTACAATTACTTTAATACAATTCATTAAGAAAAAAAAACATTTATTCTTTATCCACCAACAAACACAGTCTCTTGTAAAATGGAAAGAAATGGGTGTCTCGCTCTATCGTAACATGTCAAAGGTTTAAAAAGAAATACAAAATCAAAAACTATATGAACTATAAATATAATCACATATCAAAACAGACTCATACAATTGTCAACCATATTGTATACCTTTTCCTAAACAAGATTTAAACAATAGAAAAAGCATATAATGCATCATTCATCGTATTCTTTAATTAGCGTTTGACCATAAAGGAATACTAATTCGTTTCAAACAAATGTCCTTATAACCAATCTTTCTATGAATATATCTTTGTTTCTTAAAGCAAAATCAATAAAGAACGACAAACGGTTGTAAATATGCTAATGAAATAATAAAATCAAGAACAAAGATTTTTTTTTTTGAAGTATATAGATTTACTATTTTTAAGGAGTTATTCGTGATGTGTTGGGCAATCTCTCAATATATAACAGCAACTTCCAAAAAATTTCTAAGGATATTAGAACTATAATTTTTTTAAAAAAGAGTAGAAAAGTAAACCGAGGATATTATAAGAGAGAAATGAGAAAATGGAAGAGAATAAGAGAACGAGGGAAAGTTGTGCTTTGGAATGAATACAAATGCACTGTTTATAGTGTGAAAAGATATGAGGAATGGTCCATGGAAGAAACCCCACTTTACGGTTTCAACAAAATCCATTCTTTGAGAATCTCACTTTCAAGCCTTGCGAAGGGGATTTGATCAAGGAAAAGTGACCTTCATCAAGCAACGTGCATCCGTTGCATTCGGAAATAGATTTAGGTTTTATAACAATCCTCGTATATTACAAAAGATAAAAAATGAACGAAAGAGATAGAGAAGAAATATTTTGGGTTTCATAAGATGTAATCCATCAGAATTGGTATATTAAGTTATATAAATTAGTCATAAATCGAGAAATTCAACACACAATGTAGTTGGTATAGTAAGTTATATGAACCAAGGACACTTAACATGTATTACAGATTTTTCAATCACAAAATACGCCCATAATCCTTGTTGTTATCATTGTATTGCGCTTACTAGGTCATACGTGTACCAGGTATTCATGAGTGCTCTACATCATGCCAAGATCTCATGCAAATGTCCCTACTTGACACTCATGTAGGTGATTTCATCAAATGTATATTGCAAATCATACATCATCCGTAAGAGATATAAAGAACATTAAAACTTTTGTTTAAACTAAAATTTTTTCACCACATAGAACTTTAATTACAAAATTTAATCAATAATGCAATCTTTATCACTTTCACACACACACACCATAGGAATGGATATATTTGATTTAAAATCAAATATGTGCTATCAAAACTAACAAGTGTCTTGTTTTCACCCATATGAACATTATTCATAGGATCTCCAATCACAAAAGTTGGGTTACCATCACTTGTTTGCTTGCAAGTGGCTTAAGTCTCATTCCCCTCGATGTTTTTAATATCATATTTATTTCCAAGGGTTTTGTTAGAGGATCTGCTAGATTATGTTCTGACTTCACGTAATCAATGGAAATATTTTCATTCTTTAGCAGCAGTTCATTAAATTTTGTCTCAATTGTATATTTCTTTTCTTTCCATTGTAATTCTTGTTTTTAGCTATAGCTATTGTCTATTGACAATCGCAGTGTATTGACACTAATCGGGTTGGTTTCATTCCTAGTGTAATAATTGTTTGTCTGGCTGATTTTCATGTAATCGCACCACCCTTAAGTGTAAATACATAACCACTAGTAGACTTTGTCTCATTTGAATCAGAGACCCAGTTAGCATCATTGTACCTTTTTAGTATAGTGAAAAATTCACTATAATTAATGGCATAATCCATTGAACCTCTTAAGTATCTCATAAGCCTTATAAGTGCATCTAGTATTCTTGATTTGGACATTAAGTGTACCTACTTAGTCTATCTACTATATAAGCAATATCAGATCTAGAAAAGTTCATTAAATGCATTAAGCTCCCAATTATCTGGACATAACTGAGGTTGAAAGATAGATTTTTCTCTATTTTTCATTAATTTAAAGTTAGTATCATAAGTGATACTCACTGGTTTGAAGTCATAATACCTAAACTTCTTAAGAAGTTTCTCAACGTATTGTTCTTAAGATAGTGATCGATATACACTAGTAAAAAATTGGGTTTTTACAGCGCACATTATGCCACGGTTCAACGAAAACCGCAGCATAATGGTGCGCGGTGGCAGTTTTGTAAATAAATCGAACATATATGCCGCGGTTCTGCTCCAAACCGCGGCATATACTCCAGTCAACCATTGCCTTTGACGGCACGTATGAATAAAAAATTAAATAACAGAGTATATGCCGTGGTTCTCT